GGATCACAGCAGGGGAAAACCCCCAGCAGGTTTCTGTGCCCCTTGGACTGGACACCATGTACAGCCAGCAGAAAATAAAAAAGCAAAGGCATGGATTTTAGCTTCCATCTGCAACGTGTTCTGGGAATTTAAAAAAAAAAAAAAAAAAAAAAAAAGAAAAGACTCCTTTGCTATAGTGATCTGGATTGAAGCAAAAACTGGTACAAATCAGCCTGAAGGATGCAGCTCATTTCAGCAATGGCCTGTAACAGCTCTATGTCCCTCCTCATCTTCAGGAACACCATTCATGGTGTGAGCTGTATCTCTCTTTCCAGAGTAGTTACAAGGCCCTTTTCTCTCTGCAGGTGTATCACACCCTGCAGAAACCATCACAGGAGCACAGAAACATTGAGTTGGAAAAAGAAAAAGAGCTTGAGCTTTGCTAGAAGGTTAACTCAGTCTTACCTGAAATATCACAATCCAGGCATACCCAATGTTGTCAAAGTTGATGGCACCCTTGTGCGGGTTGGCGTTGCCTGTACGGCACACGTTGTAGTACTGGTTCCAGTTCACACACATGCCACTGATGTTGAACTCTTGCCGGACTGAGTTGTAGTAATAATAATCGTCCTTATCCAAACAACATTCATGGCCCCGCTCCTTCAGTGGGGGTATCTCATGACAGCCCATAATTCCATTATCTCCTGACAGTGAGCAAATAAACGGCATCTCATCATCTTCCTCAGGTTGGTAATAAGGGGGCAGGACAATGTCACCTTGTCTGCAAGAATAAAAAAAACCACAGTCATAAAGTTCCTGTAACAGTTTCCCATCAGCAACACTGGTGAAGCTGAGAGTTCTCATCCTGACATAGGGACTGCACTAGGTAAGGAATTTCCAGGTTTATTGCCTCAAAAGGAGGTAAGACAGGGCTCCTGGAAAACAGGAAATTTCCAGGGTCAGTCCCCAGTTTTCAGAGCTTCACCTGCCATCAGACCACCCCAAGCCAAATTACACAATCTGCTTTCACGGAGATGAAGAAAAACCGGAATGCAAAGATTTGCATTTTGATCACTCTCCCTATTAGCATCAAAGCTAAATCAGATGCAGTGATATTAAAGAAGTTCATCAGGCTTTCCTGTGATGTACTCATGTATGTAACCATTGATGGACATGTTTTATAACATTTGGCAGCGAACCTTCTGTACTTCTAAAAAAAAAAAAAATTCTAATTCATGCATAATTAAGATTGCATAGCTAAGCCTTAAAATCAGGAAATGCAAAGTTAAAATTGACTTAACCTTAACTTTGACTCCTCCTTGACAGTTGGCATTATGGGTGCAATGTTTCATGACAAGTTCGTGTGCTTTTTTCCAAATAATGCAAGCACCTTCCAAATGCATGAATAATTAAAATCATCTATGCTTGCCTAGCTGGAGATGAGCTAATGATCAGGAAAGCGAAAGGCGGAGATTTAAAATTTTCCATTAAACTTTATCTGGTACACTTCTTGCAGTGCTACAGTACACAACTTTCATGTTGCATGAATGCAGACTTTTTCACTAAGTGTCACTGTAAGAGGACAGGTGTCGATGAAAAAGAAAATAAGATCTCTGATTCCAAACTAAGCGGGACTAAACCATGAAGATCTGTTGTGACACATCCACATCATTAGTGAACTGGGTGCCTGCAGAATTAATTTCTCTAGTAATGGTCAGCCAAAGATTTTCTAGTATCTGTCACTTTGCTGTGAGTACTGTGGCCTCAATTCACTTCCCAGTTACGTCAACTCTGCATGGATGTAATTACACTCATTAAAGTAGTACTACCCCTGATTTACATAAAGAACAACCATCCTAAACATTCGTTTTTCCCCAAAGAATATATAAACAAAGTAAACGGCTGCTTTAAGCAGCTCCTACTCTCCAACCCTGCTGCTGTTCTGCAGATTGTATTTTCACACTTTTTTTTTTCCAATTTGAGGTGATCTAAAGCTTCAGAATTGTTTAATCAGTCTAAATTGATCTACAGCTTTAGGGTTTTTTAAGCAGTCTAAAGTGATAGAACGCCTGGGATTAGTATACAGTTTTAAGAAGACGTTTTAAAGCCTGAGATCTGCTAAAGTCAGAAAGTCAACAGGAGGAGCTGCACCCTGGAACTGGTGCTCTGCTCCCCGGAAGAGTAAGCAGAGAATTTGCAGCAGGCAGGACCATTTCTGCCCCACTGCCTCCCGGGAGGAGCAGAGCCATGCTCTGCAGGCTCCTCCCTGACCGCCTGAATAAACCTCAGATAGCTGTAATGGACCGCTGTGTGGCTCCAAGCTCTCTTTGCCAGAGCTATGCCCATGTTTCCCCGTGGTTTTTTTTTTGTCCCATTCAAGCAGCCGTTCTTTGCTTTCAGATGCTCTCACTCTACTAACTCAGCTGTGGGACATCTCTCCCAACAGCTCTCCACCCCCTCCCCATGGCACCTCCCATGTGCAATTCTACTCCTGAAGTTTTCCAATAATTTCCCTGTGTCCTTCTGAAACTTCCAGAGGTAACACACCACTGTCCAAACAGTGACCTCAGCTCCATCTCAGAGGTGCCGAAGATGTCCCTGGAAGCATCAGGCAGCACTATGGCTTTCTGTAAGACTCCTCTGGTTGCTGCTTTTTGAAGAGGGAGCAAGTTCAGGAGAAAGACGGTATGGCTGGTGTTTCAGAGCTTCAACTCTTTCTGGGAGTAGAGGCAACATCTTGAATCCCTGGGCATGGCTGGAGGAGGCAGCTATGCTAATGTGTGCCTTGGACAAATCAAAATAAGCCCAAACATCTATGGACCATGAAGACAGACTGAAAAAGCTGCCTTTGCCCTCTCTCCCTTTCCACTGCAAGATGTGGACAATGTTCTGCATGCCGTCACCCTACAGCCATTTGGAGTAAGCAATACACAGAGAGCCAGGGGGCAGAAGAGAACAGGGAAGGGGAAAGAGAAATGACCCTGGAAGAAAGGAAGGAGACGCTGTCTCCCAGGCACTCACATTGTGAAGTTCTCCTCCATGAAACAGCGGTTGCGGAGCAGCCCAGCCCACAGCTGCACCCCGATGATGCCGAAGATGAAGAAGACAAAGAAGCAGAGAAGAAGGACGTTCCCCAGCATGGGCAAGGTGTCCAGGAGCAAGTTCACAAGGATGCGCATGCCTGCAGGGGGAGAAGAGAACCAGAAGGAGCAAGTGTGGGATGGAGGGTAAGAGAAAGAGAAAGGGAGAAAAGGAAGAGAAGGAAAGGAAAATTTAGGAGACACATACATACAAAAAAAAAAAAAAAAAAGCCACATGAAGGTAAAAGCAGAGCGTCAGAAATTAATTACTGCCCAAACCAGGCTAGATTTATGATTGTTACCCTTTTTTGTCCTAACCTCTACTGACAAGCAGTCAGCAGAGCTGCTGTGATGCCATGATCTCTTAACTCTAGGCCTCCATCTGCAGCAGCAAGAAGAAAAGGAAATGAGACTTTTGGTACCATCAACTATCTGACTGATATCCCTCCCTCCCCCTTCCCTGCAGAAGGGCAATGGAGTGACAACTGTCCCAAAGGTGCATGGCAGCTCAACAGCCCCATCCTGACAGCTTGGACTGAAAGTCAACCCAGTTCAACAACTGCATGCTGCAACCTGTAAGAACTGCTTTGATGGACCAAGGCCAACCTGACTAGTGGGATGGATCCCTCCAGCACATATAAACTGGCATAAATTGTTTTTGTCAGTGACAGTATCAGGGAAGAGCCATGGAGACCACACACTGTCCTCTTTCAGCTAGTCCTCCCTCCCCAACAGGGCTGGAGCATACAAGTGGCAGGCACAGTGTGAAATGCTGTCAGCACAGCACCTCTGGCCAGTGCAAATGTTTTCAAAAACCTTTTTTTTTTTTTTAATTACCTAATTAATTATTTCTCTGTTTTTTTTTCTCCCGTCTCTTCAGCTCACACAGCCACAAGTACGGGTAAGGATAGGCTTGTTTCTCCGTGGACCTAATGACTTTTCCAGTGCTCTCTGGGGATGGCAAAAGTCTAGAAATCCTTCTGAGCATCACCCTATCACCTTTAGCACTCCGCACACCTCATGCGGTTGTCTCTTCTTGCCACCATGGAGGTCCGTCCCCTGAGAGCCCAGGGAGTTCCTTCGCTGAAGATGTTCCATGTAGGCCAGCAAATAATTAGCTAATCAGGTATTTATAACCAGTTCATTACTTCAGATAGCAGCAGAAGGGAAAAGAGGAGGGGGAAGAGAAGATTAGGATTCTTTGACAGCCCGTTGAGGCACAAGTTAATCCCCCTTGTGTGCCCAGCGTCAAGTAATTAGCCACACGATGCTGTGCATTACGCTCTATCTCTATTCCCTGGGCTGCTCACGCTGCAGAAAGGGGAGGGAAGTGGGGGGCATGTAGGTGTGGGTTGCACATCCACAGAAGGGAGAGGGAGAAAGGTGCCTGGCATGGGACATAGGACTGGTTTAGTGAACATTTTGGGGACAGATGGAGGTGGAAGAGACAGGAGTGGTATTTGTGGGTAGGTGATATGTGGGAAGAAGATGCTTAATGATGGCTACATGGGATTGTGAAGGACAAGGAATGATGGCATTAGCTCTAAGGCCAGGCTGTGAAGCAGCAGCTAAGCCCTGCTTGCCTGACTGCCCAGCTGTATCACTAGTCAGCAGTTGAGGCAGTTTCTAGACAGCACATCAGTAACTCAGCAGTGCAGGGGCACAGCTCCAGCCACTCGCTGGGGATTGTGGACATGCCATGAGTCACTGATAGCTTTCTGATCTGTCACTGCACAAAGCCCAAAAGCATAGCCACAGTGACCTGCTGCCTGTCCCTGTGACCTGCCAGGCTCCAGAGCAACACTCTGCACAACACTTCGGCTTTAAGGCCATACACCCTTGCTGCAGTGCAGCGTGTTCCCAACATTAATGCAGCTTCACAGCACGAGCTCAGTAGTTCCCATAAACTGTCCTGGGCAGTACATTAGGGAAAGCCAAGTGACAACAGGAAGATGTGCCAGCAGCACTGCAAGAGGGGGTGATGTTTTTCAGATCAATTGATGCTAGCTCCATTTCAGAACAGAAGTAACGGGAAGAATGAGACTGCCCTTATACTGAAACACAGAACAGATAGAACAGACATACCCACCAGAATTTTACAGACAGCAGGCTTGTTGGGTCAGAATTTGCAAAAATTGATTTTGTCCACGTTCCAAGAGAAGACAAGTGACTTGCAAAACTTGCCTGCCTTTTCTTTGGAAACATCCTGCCTGCTTATACACGTTCTCCATCCTGACCCTCAGAGCAGCTACTGATGATACAGGATTGTACTATCCACAGCTCCAGGATCATAGCAATTGCCCTCATTCTAGGCCTTCTGGGGTGCCTGGGCCCATAACGCAAGAACCGACAAGTGGTCACATGTCAGGCACGTGGCTACCAGGTAGATGGCCCTAGTGCTTGGCATCTTTTCCACATCACAAAGAACTGCAGCATTGGTGGGGTTCCATTTCTAAGTCCAAATGAAACCCAATTTTTATTTTTTTAAAAATCTCCAAGTTGAACAGTCATCCTTCTCTGCCCATTGATGCTGACTGTGGATATGTGATTGGCTATTCCAAATGCAAGAATGCTGAAGCTACGCCCATCCAAACATCAATTGCAATTCTCCCTAGGGGCCAACCAGTTCTGAAACAAATCCACCACTTTGTTCAAAGCCTTTTTTGCTTCCTGCCCTAAATCACAAAGCAATCACTCTGGGAACCCATTTTTCACCAGAGGCATCAGGTTTCCAATAAAATGCACCTTCTCTGCTGAGTTCACTCTGCTAGTGGAGGTACTTCAACTGCTACTTCTATATGGATGAAAGGCACAACGTAAATACAAGCTCGGTACCTTTGTTCTCTCCATTGTTAGCCTCCCCTACTGCCTACAATACTCATGCCAGAGTCCCTAACCCTGTCCTCTGCATTTTGGCAGTGTCCCCCTGCACTTCTGCCAGCCTCTGTGGGCGCTTTGGGCGTAAGCACTCACAGCCTCTCCATCCCCTCCTGAGCCGGCAGCCCTGCGTGGGTCTGTCCACGGCCGGGGCTTTGCAGTCCCCTGGACCCAGGAAGGGACAGGCTGGTCCAGCAGCCATGCTAGGGCATCTGCTGCAGGTCTCCAAGGAAGGACCCTCACTGCCAGGTGTCTGAACACTTTCATGGGTAGGAGGGGACGAGCCTCACTCAGGCAGGACCCAGACAGCAGTGTGTTTTGGGGTCTGCACAGCCTGACTAGGAGCAGGTCACAAACAGTCCCTGGTACCTCAAGCACTCACAAGGTGTGGGGGAAAGAGGGAGAAAGGCTGAAAAGCCTAAGGACAGAGGGTGATGATTTACTGCAGCCCCTGGTGGCTGAGATAACAAGGTCTCTAAAGAAGCTACAGGGCAATGGAAATGGGCAGAAGGCACGACAACTTCTGGAAGGTGCTGGAAAAGCTGTTTCTTTGGCAAAGTCCTGCTGCTGCTTCCTTCCTACCTGCCACCACCTCTGCCTGCTCCTCTGCCCCTTTACTTTTCTCTCACTGTGCCTACATCTCCTCTCTGTTTCTGCACTGCTCTGCAGCATACGTGCGCACGTCTCCCAGCCTCCTTCCCTGCTGCTGCCTTTCCCCACATCCCCGTTTGTCCTTTGCCATTGTCCTGGCTCACAGCAAGGAGGGAATATGAAAGCGACAGTGACCTTTTCTGAAGCAGCCTTTGAAAAAAGAAGATGTTCCCTGAGAAGAGAAAGGAAGAGGGGCTGGGCAATCTGGAGGAAAAACAGGGAGGGAAACATTAATGAAGCAACATTCAGCAACCAAACAGGCTCCCGCGGCATCAAATATGAAAAGGTTTTGCTCTTCAAGGGGAAGGAATGCTAGAAATATGAAATATTCATGAGTGCCAGGTGTGGGCTCTGAAAGGCCTTTTCTCTTCCCCACTCACCTCATGAGGAGGCCAGGGCAAAGGAGGAAATGAAACAGCATCAGCTGTGGGCATCCAAGGAAGGATCCTCATCGAAATGATGCTCAGATAATGCTTCCCTGCTACTCACCCATGGCCTTAGGCAAGGAGTGGGGAAGGGTGCTCAATGGGAGCTCGCCAGTAAGGCTACTCCTGGTAGGATACCCTGCAGGAGCAAAGCCATGAGCACAACAGAGTTGCGCTCACTGCTCCAACACAGCAGTGGGCATCAGAGGTAAAGTACATCTCAGGGATGAGAAGTAGCAGGAGGGTGAGAGGAGTGCTTGGTAGCAAGCTGTCAGAGGGAAGCACAGGGCTGAGCAAAGCCAAAAGATGAAGCAAAGTCACTGAACTCCCTCCTGGGTTCAGGCAAAGCAAATCCTCTTGCCTTGCCTCGGCGGCATCCAGAGGCTGTTCCTGACAAACCCTGCAGATGCTACAGTGACCACAGGTCCCTCCAGACACTTGCCATCAACCCTGATTAGCCTGGCTGTCACAGCTAAGCAGAATTGCCCAGCATGTGCCAGCCCCGGGGAAAGTGTGGCGGTGGCAGTGAGCAGGGCTGGGGAGGAGGTGAGCTCTAGGCAGCTGGAGCCAGCCGTGCAGTGCAGGTGTGCCCAGTGGCTTACCACCACCTCCCTCTGCTCCTGCTTGGCGTCACACTGCGCTTTGCCTTCTCTCTGCCTGCCTCTTTCCAAGAGTGAGGACGAACAGCTGAGCTGATTCACTACCTAGCACTAATCACCCCATGAACTGAAGGGGGGACTGGCTCAGGAGATGGTGAGAAACCCTTTTTTTTCTGGTTTCTTATATCTCACCCACCTCTGAGGCTTTCGAGTCCTCTCCAGCTCTACAGCGAGGGACAAAGCTAATGTATGTGGAGTCAAAAGGAGATAGCAGTTTGAGGCATTATTTCCCTTGCTTAGAGTAAAACAGATGGAAGAGAACATAATTGTCAGCACCCATCTTATCTGCATCATGGGCCAAGCTACCAATTGTCATTTTAACTGGAGCAAAAGCAAATCTCTTCCCCATCAGCACTTGTGACTGTAGCTGGCAGGACATTTTGCAGAACGCAGAGATGGAAGCGTCATTCTGTCTTTCAGCCAGGCCGCTTGTCCAAGCGTGCCTTCTTTCCTTCCTCCCCTGCCCCAGGACACATGGCAGCCCACCCA